TTTAGAATTCTGTCACCTCATTCTTACGTGTGTAGAGCAGTCTAAAAGTACGTGAACTGCCATTCTGTTGTTCTCCTTCTAATGGCTACTCTGATAGTAAAGGGAAAGTGTTATGACCAGGTTAGTAAAATACCTCCTTCGGGAGCTTGTGGGGGATAGATAAATACAGTATATAGTTGATGGGGGAAAGCCTTCAGTATGGAGGAGAGGGCTGCCATAGGCAGTGATCCTTGGTGTGAGAATGGGACAGTGGGTCATATCAGTGTCCATGTTTTCATCCGTGAAATGCTGAATGTCATGGCACTCTTGAGCACAACTGACTAAATGGAATGCATTTTAAGCACCAAGTGGATCAAGTGGAGGTTGTTTTCTGAAAATGTGGATCTTACTTCTTATCTCGCATGAACTTAAGTGTACTGAGTTATTTAAAAATAGAAGCAGTAAGTCACTTCAGATTTTGACCCTGTTTTTCAACATTGTATCTTGCCAAGCTTCTCTCTCTGTTTAAATCAATGTATCAAGAACTAGGCCTCATGAACATTCGGATACACATGCTTGATCTTTATGTGAAAGAACAGAGAAGAAGAGAGAATGTGAAAGGGAAAATCCAGTTGCTCTACACAAGGGAAGGCTTTGAGCCTCTCTCTTTTTGTCCCTGTTCCCAGTTGAGGCTGAGAATCCCGCTAAGGATCTTGAAGAAATGGCAACACCTCCACTTCCTTTGTCTGCCAAACCAATCAGATTAAGTGGGCACCTGAACAAAGGAGAATTAATTTGTATTCCTAGAAAGAACACAGAGGAAAGAACATCATAGATTGTGAAGCACCTTTTGGGGGGGGGATAGCATCTGGTTCAAATCCAGTTCCTGCTCTTTGTAACGCTGAACCATTTGAAAAGAACCCATTAAATGTATCAGCCTTGAAGACAAAGAGGGAATGTTTTTACTATTTACATTTCTTTTTGAATATATAACTCTTTGTCGTTCATTTTGATGATGATTTTAATTTACCACAGTGTCAGGGTGTACAATGGGAGCCCTCCACTGTGCATTATGAACAGAACACAGGAAAATGCAGATACTTATTTATAACAACGGGAAAACAACAATTATTCACTTGTGAGCAACTGGAAAGGAGGAATGCACAATATTATAAAAAATGCATACTTGCCCATTGTTCTTCCAGTATCTCAAACCATTTATATAATTTAAAGTTCATTTGGTACTAGTCTCTTCAGCAAAGCAAACCTCATGACCATTTCAACATATTGAAGCAACATCTATCTTTTGATGATATTTACATAATACATGGATAAATGGTTGTTGTGTTTTATCCACTTCTTCCCCACACAACACTGTAACAATATTATTGTTATCTATTTAATAGTTACTTGTTACCTAAAAGTCTCCAAGCAATTTACATGTAAAAAGATAGACATAAATATAATATACCATATACAACATAAAAAAGCACACATCGTCCCCATAACAGCAATAGGAAACTTTCACAACACACTAACAATGATACAAACTCCACTCTTTTGTCTTTCAAAAGCCTGGGAAGGTAGTAGGCAGCCCAAGCTCTGAAGAGCATTTCACAGACAAGACCACAATGGAAAAGACCCTCTCCCTTGTCATCACCCTCCAAGCCTCATTCAGAGGAGCAGCAGAGTCTCAAATGCCAATCTAAGGATCTGGATAGATTCCTATTGGAAGAGGCATCCCATAAGATACTGGGGTCCTGAGCTATCCAGGACTTTGAACTGGGCTCAGAAGAACAGGGGCAGCCTGTGTAACGGGAACAGAATTGGTGATCTATTTGTCTCAAACCTGTCAACAGCTGGGCAGCTGCTTTCCGCATTAATTAAAGTTCCCAACCTGTTTTCAAAGGCAGCTGGGTAAAGTGCATTGCCATAGTTCAGTACTGAGGTTTCCAGAGCATAGGTTAGAATAGCCAAGTTATCCCAGGCCAGATAGGGTTGTAGTTGGGCCACCAACTGCTGGAAAGCACTCTGTACTACTGATGTCGTCTCTGCCTCACGTGACAGTAGTGGATCCAGAAGAATATGGTGTCACCCAAAAATATCTCAAAATGACTTAAAGAACTCAGGAGAAGCAGAAATGTTAGAGGGTGTCCCTTTGCTATATAAACCCATCAAAATACCAATTCAAGCATGTTCTGAGTAACAACATTTTATTCTCAGCCTCACTTGGATGGGCAAGGAAAGACGATAAAGTAAACTGGTGGCAAAATAGCATTCAATCAAATGGAGACTATTCTGGTCATAAAAACAACAATATCTACTCATTACATGCTTGTTTGCAAGTTGTGTCGAAAGAAAATTGAGTTGGTGTATTATAACTGAAAAAATGATGGACTAGCAAGGAAGTCACTGCATATTTGTGACTGCTTTAAAATATGCTCCTCAATCAGTTCTTATATTTCAGCATTAAAATTGCAATAGACTTCTGTGATTTCACAAACTAGCAACTTCGCATTATTATCAACTGGAAAAAAATGGAACAGATACACCAATCCTGCTACATTTTCATTTGAAAAGACTACGAAGAAGACATTAGCATTGCCAGAGCAAAAACATACTGGCCACTTTAAAGGGAAAACTCATTTTTTTCCTCCTCTTTAAAATATTATATTACATATAAATGCACATATTATAAAACACTTTTATACATTTATCCTTTTTATTATAAAAATTAAATATAAAGAGAATAGAGTTATAAATGGCATGTTTGAATTTCTATAAGAATGAATTTCAAGTCCTTTTGAGTTTTATTTTCTCTATTTTTTAGTTTTTCTATTTTTACAGCTGTAGAGATAATGAAAATACATTAAGAAAACTTAGTTTGGACTAAAATTATGAAACTGTTAGTGAAAGTAAAATTCAGCTGCAAAGCTGAAAAATGCATTTGTCAATAAAAGCAACAAAGGTATATAGTGTTTCATGTTCATTCTACATATGAATGGAGGCCTTCTCAGCATCTTAAATTGCTAAGGAAAACAAAAATATTTCTCTCAACAGATACTGCCAGTAGAGTTGTCCGAGGAAATAATGCACCATATCTGTTCTCAACAGTGTTGGTGCATATTGAACACCAGCACTTCCCTTCATATCAAAAGCTGGTAATTAAAATCAAAATGTATCAAGAGGAAAGACCATACCTTAATAAAGAAAAATGCTATTTTACAATATCCAACTGATTTCAGTGGGAAGGACATTAAAGTATGCGTACTTCAGTTTTTTACTCCAAAGTAATACAATTAAGTTCAACAGAACATGCTCCCCATTAAGAGATTATAAGTTTGTAGTATAATCAAGCATGTATCATAAAAATGAATGTCTATAGTTTATCCTTAAATTTAGTATTTCCAAAATACCCTCAACCTGATGCCATTACTCCGCAGAGTAGCTTCTGACAGCTCTTGGTCCCCATGGTTTGTTGCAGTATATAGACCCCCCCCCCCATCTACTTATAAATATATTTGCATTCATGTTAAATTAGTGGCCCATAAAAGTAAGTATTAAAACTCCATTAACTTTAATTAACCTTATGTTTGACGTACATATATTTAAAAAGGAAATTAACATGACATTAGTTAATAGTATGGAGCTGAAATTTACTATACTAACTCAAGGCATTCCTGGCTCTGGATACAACTTTACTCGTAGCCATTATATACTTTTGCTTCTGATTTCCAATGAAATAAATGCTTATTTGATTTATCAAGACTTTAAAAACACCTAACACTTTGAAACTGCGAGTTTTCATTTAAATTCAATCAACAGAAAAGCAATAGATCACAAATAGCTTGGAATTATTTACCCGATGCAATGAATTCTGATATAATAAGCATTTTCCTAGATGTTAGGTGACCTATTAACTTATTTTAGTTGTATTTTGACATTCAGCCTACTCAACTAGCCTGAAATTAGATTCGTTTTATCTCTTGCTTTCGTAATTGTATGGCAGAAGCATACATTTAAGACGGTTTGGACATTTCCCCCCTCCCCTCCCCCCAGTATCTACTGATACAGGTTGTATTCTTTTGGCTAAAAAAGTTGTAGCAAGTTTTGCATGTATGCCTTCCTTAGAATATTGAAAGGTTTATATAATATAATAGCAGTGTGTCTTGTCTCCCATCATTAGATCACTACAGTGCCACAAGATATTATTACCTCATCTTTTGGCTTCTTAAATCATGGCTACAACTGACCTTGTCTTTCCAAAATGAATTCTGTCACAATAATGACTTTTTCATTGTCATTCTTCAAGCAGTCATTGCCAGGTCAAGAAGCCAGAACTGAATTAATGCTTATTAATCAGGCTCAGAATTACTCTCACCATACTAGGGATTCTAAAATTCAACGAGATATGCCTATGTGACTGAGGAATAACTAACTATAGCAATATCATTGGTGCTTGCCTAAAATTCACTAGAAGGCCCAGAACTCAAATTCACATTTTCCTTCAACTTGCATTTTCACAATGCATTATGCAGACAAGAGCCAGAAAATTATACCACTTATTAAATTAAATAACTGAACAAAAAAATAACTCCAAGGAAAAAATATTAAATGAGCATTTGAATTAAATATTTAATTCAATATTTAAGAGATTTTTTCCATGAAGAATTATGTTTTAGAGTATATATGATGGCATACAAATTTTAGCTCCAGAGGGGCTTTAATATTACTATACTAAGAATTTACTATGTGGAACTTGTCAGTGTTTACATGTATAGGGTCAAGCATGTATCACTATTACCCATTGCTTGTTAAGCATGCCTGTTAAATTCTCCTAGATTATAACAATTACAGATTGAGGAACCTACTAACATTTACAAGAGACAACGCTCTCAGTTCAGCTGACTATCTCTTCTGTAAATCTCCACAGGGTTCAAATTATTGGCTTCAATTAAAATGTTGCGTCAACAAACCATGCCATTTATCAGATTTAAAGAATGCAAAATATTGACCCTAACCTTGATCTTATTGGATGTGAACACCAATCCTCCTTTCTGCAAATGGTGCTTGTACCAATTTTATGCCATCTTGAGTTTTCTGTCTCTAAATGAATGAATCAAAATTTAAAAAGTCTTATCTATTTACCATACGAAAATATTCACAAGCTTTAATGATCACACCTTCAAACCATTTTAATTCTCTAATATTATTAATGTTCATAACTGAATAATTATCATTACTAAAATAGCCTGGGGGGAAAAAGTATTTTGCTTTTCTATGATTTTGAAGGATTCCTGTAAACAAACAAGGTCTGCTAAGACATAAAATGATTTAAATGCTGATCTGTGTTAAAATAGTCATCTATCTGGAAGACGTATCTCAAAAAATACTGTGAAGCTATTGGCTTATCATTCCGTTCTGAAATACAATGACCTTTTGCTACCAATTCGACTCAAAGGAAAATGTCGTACAAAAATAGGTTCATATTTCAGAATTGCTTTGTGCAATGCGTAGTGCTTTGAATCTGGGTGCTAGGTTGTCAACCTGTTTCAGTGTAAATGCATAGCCCTCTTCAACACAAGTTCCAGTGAAGTGAACTGAGGTGATGTTGCAGAGAGCATCGAGAGCAGAGCCTAAGAACATGTCTGTACTAGTTGTTTATAGTGTGTCAGTTCCAATTTAAGATGTCTTTAACTTGCATCTAATCTGCTATCTTTGTGCATACAACATCAAATGATCATTGGAGATGTCATGTGTTTCAATGATCTCTGCTAAAAATGACTGAACTGAAAAGAGGCCTATGTGTATTACTTTAGTAAAAACCTATTTATTGGTCACTGTGACCATTGCCTGTGGGAGGAGTCTATAGTACACCCTCCTCATTATTCTCTCTCTCATAGACCCCTCCTTCTCATATACCCTCCTTGAGTTCAAAAGGTAATATTTACATTACAATCATTGTCTACACATTATGCTTATTTTGGTAAATGAACCCCTGATAATCTTCTGTTTTGCTGTACAACAGAATCCTCATAAAGTATGAAAATTTAAATTAAAACAGAAAAGTTCAAATGGAGAATTGCAAAAACCAAATCTGTCCCAGGCATTTCATAGACAGGCCAGAATAGAGTCTACCGCCACAATATAATTTTCTAATGAGACTTTAAAATTTCTCTCTTACGTACTTTGAGTCTCCTTCCTTTCTCTTTCCATTCCAGAATAATCCCACATTTGCTGATACTGTTTCAATATGGAAGGATCAGATCAACAGCTACCATGCATTGTAAGCTCTGCAAATTAATATTGTATCCGTAAAATAAGGCTCATTTTAATTCTCCCATAATATAACACTTAAAATGTTATCATCACCCAGCACTAGTTTTTACTAAAATCTACACCCAAGAAAGCAAAATGGGTTAAGGCCACAGCCTAAAATATTATTAACATTATTTTTGAAATTATAGATGTCATAATAGACAACTGATGTAACATCTCTTGTAATTTTATATTATTTATAATTGTAATTGGATGTTAATTCAGCTCACCATTCAACCTTTCTGAAGACTATATATCATTTTTGTAAACTAATTTAGCTTTGTCAATAAGAAAATGAGTCATCTCCTGTTAGCCTAGGTGCGCTAACAAGATCAAGAATGAATTGCTTACCATTTGTGAAAACTACCAGTTTAAAATAATTTATTGAAAAATAGGTTCAAAATGTAACGAGAATGCCCAATGCATTCATACCTCTTTCAATTAGAGCTTAAAATTCATTCTCCGAAAGCCATATCTACAGCACGCACGCACACCCGCACACACACACACACACATAGGGGGACGATCATGCAGTTTTCTGTCCGTTTAAATCCCATTGTGTCTTTTATTCTTAAATGTATGAATGTACACATTTATTTACATATTAGGTTGACTTTTTTACTTGAAATTTAGCACTACAGGACAGGCAGTCCCTGCAAGGAATGAGTAATTTTAAGGGGATGGGGCATATACTTCAGAACCCATTATTGTCCTATTTTGATGATCAATCAAGTGGAAGAATGTGATGACATCATCTGCTTTAAGATTAGTAATTCATTGCCTCTAGCTATCAGAAGCCACCCAATAAGAATAAAAGAAAGCCAGGGGAAAAGGTTCTGTTCTTATTAACTTTATGGTAAAGATTTCTTTCAGATCTTTTGTCTTTTTCCGGTCTTTGAAGACATACCATGGTCTTATTCAAAATTTTCAATGAATATCTCATTGAAGTTTATTATGCAGTTGCAGATATTTGTTTTGTATGTCATTTCAATCCAAAGGCAAGTTACTTTGCTGTCTATGATAAAATCAGCAATAGATTTATTTGCCAAAAACTAATCTTCTAAACTGTTTTGGTTGTGATTCCCATCAACAGGATGGTTGAATCCAGAAGTCAGTATTATTTAAGCACCAATCTGTGCTCAGGATCATATTTTCATTCACATATGAGCTCTGTACTGGAAATTAGCCTTATAAAATTAATGAGCTATTAGCACGATCAATCTACAGTTAAGCAGTTTTAAGATCCATTAATTAAAAGTATGCCTTCCTAAATCTCTGCCACTGAAATAAGTGGAATTCAAAAGTGCTCAACTCTGGCTAGATCAATATTGGTCTCTAGACAGCTATATACTCTCATATAAAATACTCCCAAACCATATTGCAATTGACTCTTGCAACAGCAAAATTTAAAGATATATTTCCCTAAAGAAAACTGATCTGTGCATGGAAAAGAAGTTTGTCATATTGTATCTGGTAGCTATTTCTGGACATAAATTGCATAGATTGTATGCCCGCAATCTATTCCTGACCTGGTTTCCTTTAAAGTTTGCTTGCATCTTATGAGGATGTTTAAATAAATTTCACTGCAGCAGAGCAAATATGTAAAGTGAACAGAAATTATACCTTCTTAACTACAATATGAACTGGTTTATAAATGCTTTATATATTTATTTTATCATTCAGAATTCTAATTCTGCATCAAACTTCAACCATGTTGGTTTGAAACATCTCAATTATTTGAAAAAGTTATTTTTAAATTTCACATCATCCCATTTAAGCCTTCATTGGTGAAGATGACATGGACTGCTGTAATGAAAAATTATCAGAAAAGATTGGAATAAAGGTCTCTGTACCCCCTATAACATTTGTTACGTTGGTAATATATGTGATGCTTCACCTATTGGCAATACAATCCTATACATGTCTACTGAGAGGCAAGTTCCACTGTCCTTTCACTGTTGAAATTGAAATTAGTTGCTTATTTCAATTAGACATTACATAAAAGCAAAGGTTGTTAATGTAAGTTCTAAATTTGACTGTTTTTATTCAATTCTATTTGAAATTTCCATTTATTTTGGAAGACTGGCAACATCAATGGGAAAAAATAATGAATATATTCCACTGAACGAAAGAAGCATATACCACTCCATTTACAAATGCAATGCAACATCCATTATTGTTTCACTGGTAATTTCTGAATCAACGCATAAAACATTTTAACATTCCTGACATTCCATTTAAGAAAAACATTTATGCCACTGGTAATTACATTTTCATTGACTTCTTATCTCATTCTTCTGTCCCAAATTCAAACAGAAATAATGTGGAGCTGTCTGAATCATTGCCAGATGTTTATAATGATTTATTGACTAGGTTCATTAAAATGCATTTATCAACTCATTCGAATATAAATTTAATGGTTCCAGTTGACGCTGCCATTTTATTAATGTTGCTTTTATCTGCCCAGACTGGCTACTTCAACAGAACAGAAAGGTTTCAATCTAAATGTTTTTTAAAATGCTTTATTTAGTTGCAATGCACTGCAATTCTTTGCATGTTTACTCACTGAACTCTCACTGAATTTAATTAGATAGGTAGCCCCAACTAAGCATGGGACTATTGAATAAATGCAGCCTATACGAAAAGGGGGAAATGCAGTACATCAGTTCCGCTGAGGGGCTTGTATGTTTATGTCCAGTCCTGCAATTCAGTAATCTACAGGTAAATTTAGGTTAGGCTGGAGTTCAGTACCTTAAAGAACTCTGCCTCTAGGGATAAGTTGGGAACAAGAATGACTCTGCTGACATTAGGTAAATGCCTGCTCAGTGACCTTCATTACCAAAGCTCTTGGCTTTCAGGAGCATCTCAAGCATTCTGTGTCACTGCTGATATCACTGTGCAGAAGGCAACATGACAGGGTGCAAATGAGAAGCAAACACAAAGTGGCCAACAATCAGCACAGAGAAAAGGCAAATCTTTGGGCACAGCTGGCAACACAATATTGTCTCAGTGTGTGTCTGATAATTTTTTATACTAGGGCAAGCACAAGAATATAAGAGTTTTGCATGCTAAGAAAACCTAATTTTGTTTAAACTTAAGACATAGTCATCAAAATGGTATTTGATGAAGGGTTATGCCAGATCCAATTATATTTTGAAAAGGCTGGCTCCATCTATAGTACAATTCCATAGGTTCTACTCCAGAGTGTGCTCCATTCAGTTCCATAGGGCTTACTATCTGGACAATGTGTATAGGATTGCAGACATGGTTTACAACAGTCTTACTACACTTTAACAGCCTACACTTGGGTACCTGTGCTTATTATCCACCTTCTTCACATTATAAAGCCTTTTGTATTAATCAGGCTTTTCCATCTGCTCAAACTATACAAATGTGAATGTTTCGTGCAAGACTTTTTTAAAAAAACACACACACAACCTCAAACATCGTTTTGTTGCCTCAAACATCGTTTTGTTCAGAACTGTGAGCTGCTGAGATAGTCTTTGCACACTAAAGCACAGCACAGTGCATCTGTCCAGGACAGGTAGATTCCACAGGTAGAAAGACGGCGACCTAGATAAAACAAAAATATGGGTGGGCAGCAAAACGCTTGCTTCCGTTTGGACGAAAGTGTCCACAGCTGCGCGCCTGGGTTTACCTGCCCATCCTTTCGAGGCGCCAAAGACGCGCACCATCAACGCAAACCAAATCATTAGTATTCTCCACCCCCTCTGTGGAAAATTAGAAACGGTGTGGATGGGGAGGGGGCAATGCAAAATAGTGACCACGGCAGAACCACCCTTTCCAAAACATGGTCCAGAGCACACTAAACAGAGGATTCCAGATCAGAATACCATTTGGCGCCCGATCCAGCCCCTCTGCTTCCTCTCATTCTACCCTGACCACTGACATCCCAGGCTGGACCCTCATCTCCCCAAGCCTCCGAGCAACTCCCATAGCGGTCCCTTCGGCTCCGTGTCCTCCTTTCCTTGTCGCCTTGTCCCGCTAGCAGCGTTTCCCTTTGGCTCTTCGGAGCCTCCCCCCTCCTCCCTTGCCCGCCAAAGAGCCTTTCTTCTTCGCTGTCTTGCTTCAGACAACCTCCCGCTTTGCCCCTTCTTCTTCTGCTGCTGCTTCTTCTTCTCCCCCAGCCTCGCGTTCCTCCTGGCGCCCGACCTACCTGCTGGAGCCGAGGGGACGCGCTCGCTGCCTCCACACGCGCTCCGTCCGAGCCAGCCCGCGCTGCTCTCCCGGCGCGGTGTGAATGCTCATTTAAAGCTCGGCGCCCGCTGCTCAGTGGCTGCTGCTCCGCTGTAGTCTCCCGGCTCTGGCTTCTTCCTTTCTCCCCTCACAACACAAAGGCGCTCGCGAGCCCGCTCCGAGGAGCCCGGCGAAGCGGCCCCGCCCCCGCCAGAAGAGACCCGCACCTGCCGCCGGGCGGCTCCGTACCCCCCACTCCGCCTCTCCCGCCAAAGTAGCCAAAGCCCGCCCCGCGCCGGGGTAAAGTTAAGGCGCAGCCGAGCCCGCCGCGTCCAGCCGCCGAGAGAGAGCTGGGCGGCGCTAGCGGGGCTGGTGGTGCTGCTGACCCTGGTCGGGGAGGCGGCGTGGGAAGTCTGGCACGCGGCGCTTGGCTGAGGACCTGCCCCGGCCGCCCCTCCTCTTTCTGAGGCAGCTTCCTGTGCAGCCAGGCGACGCCAATGACAAGGAGTGTTTTAGGCGGGAGAGAAGGTTGGCCATGAGTCAACCTGAGGGAAGGGACTCCTCGGCCTATTAGGTTCGCCAATTGCGCCCTAAAAATAAAATAAAAAATGCTTTGGCCAGAAAGTTTCTCCATGCTCTCCAGCTAGGGCAGCTCACCTCACAGTGCTACCAAGAAAGAGGTGAGGCAGTGGGCAGAGATCAGCTGATTTATTGCTGTTTCTCTGGGTAGCTTGGAGAGAAGGTTGGGCCTGGCTAACATGGGCTCCAATTTCTTTTGGCAGCAGTCAGCATGGCCAATGGTCTTCAAATCATCGAATTATGGAGTTGGAAAGGACTGTGAGGACCATCTAGTCCAAATCCCTGCAATGCAGGAATCTTTTGGTCCAATGTGGGGCTCGAACCCTCAACCCTCAGACTAAGAGTCTCGTGCTCTAGCAACTGAGCCATCCCATGGGAGCTGAAATTCATCAACCTCTGGAGGACATCAGAACATCAGAAGAGCTCTGCTGGATCAGGCCAAAGGCCCATGTACCCTGTTCCCACAGTGGCCAAGCAATGCGAAGCCCCTAAGAAGGATGCTGAGCGCATCACATTGGCCACCTCTGTCCACAGGGAGAAAACAGGTAAGTAAAGGCAGCTGCTTGCGCAAGGAGCAACCATTACATTTAGTTGCCTCCTGCACTCTTCCTCTGTGCACAGCAAATCCTTCCCACCCAGAGAGGGACAGAAGGCCAGTTGAGATGGTGGCAAGTTTTTGCTCACCCACCCGCTCATTCACTCACTCGGGTCCCAGTCGTTCCCACCCATGCTGTGGAAAGAGAAAGGGTAAGTGAGCAGAGAGAGCTTCTGCGAACAAGGTGGCAAGTGAGCAATCAGAAGCAGCAGTGGCCTCTCCTTGCAACCATTGCTTGCCCAGTCCTTTTGATTGTGCCTGGTCAAATATAGCAGGGAAGAAGAGGTAGTGGCTGGTACTCCCATCTCTTCCCTGGGCACAGTTTCTAGGCAGTGAAGTGCTGAGGATGCTATTTTTTTTGAAATAACTGCTTGTTTACTAGAAGCTACTTCCTACTGTGTTTGATAGGGCTGCATAGATTGCAACCCAATCATTCAAACACATACATACATAAATCCTGCGTAGAAGAACTGTGGGACTTACTCTTAGTCTAAAGCTGCAACCCTTAGCTGAGGAAGTTCCATTGAATTCACTGTGACCTATTTCCAAGTAAATGACTGCATATATACCATGCTTTTAAGCGCATGGCTTTCCCCAAATTGGCAATAATCTCCTCCCCTCCTTTTCCATTATAGCAACAGTGTAAAGATACCACCCATGGCTTTTATTTATTTGTTCTTTTTCTCAGTTGATACAGAAACTAGGTTGGGGAGAAATGCATCAAAATGCGGCATTTCATATGAAATGACAAGATAGACACATAATAGAATATATGTGGATTTTGTTTAACGTCATGTGTACACCGCTTCCTAAACCAGCAGGGGAGCACATTAGATGCAGAGTTAACAGGCACATGAGCAACAGCCTAAGTTTCAACACAGTTAAGATGCCTTGCCTTGTGACATCCACCCAGACCTGCATCTTCCTGGATGCAGAAATTGCTGTACCCCAAACCCAACATTGACTGCCTATGCTTTTCCCATTGCTGAAAATATGGGCTGAATACCTGTCTGCTTGAACACTGGACCTCTAAATTGTGAACGCTGCTCGTGGTAAATTGGCATTCAAACTAGAAAATGAATGAGCATGTGTTGTATAATCATATGTTCATTTTAAAGCTTTACTCCTTTTTATGCCAAAGAGGTAAGAGGAAGGAAATATGTCAGAGAAATTCGTTTTTGGCTGACACTTTTGTTACATTCAAGATATGTGATATCCAAGTGAACAATCTAAAAACAGGCTGCTTTTTGGAGGCCTGGAGGCAAAAAGTCAGCTGTTACATTAAGTGTAAAGCAAATATTAATACTTGCTTTGATATGTGTTGGCACAATTGATGTCATTACATTCACACCAGCTTTTCATAGCATTCAGTACTGCTGGCTACAAAATCAGTTTTCTAACACAGTTCTCAACAATACAGACACAGATTATCCATGAAGCTGGCCTGCATTATCACTCCAAACATTACAGTCCATCAGAAGATAGCACTATGGACAGAATTGGTGTTACAGCTTTTGATAATTAGTCATAAGATTAGTAACCAACTTAACCCTGAGAAGGTTGCTTTCGTAAATACTAAATGGTCCTTATAAGCATGATCATAATTTGTGCTGGTCATCATTTGAGATTTCAGAGGAATATGTTCTGTTCCACTAGCCAAAATAGTACCTTGGGTTATAGACATCATATTTGCATATCCAATTTCATTGATTTCAGAAGGTAAGGGCATGTGATCCAATACATGATCCCCCCAAAAATTCTGTTGTCCCCCAGACTGATAAATAGTAATGGACCATGTTCTGTCCATTTTGAGGAGCTATCATTTAGTGAATGGCAACCCTTTTTTTGAGATTGTACTGTGAGGTCATTGCCATTTACAAAGCACAAAGTGTTTTGGGTGCTAAAAATTAATGCAATGGCTCACAAAATTGTTAATGCCTTCCTAATGAGACATAACTAGTTGCTAGAGGAGGTGTATGCATTCTCCTTGACCCTTCACAGGCAGGTGTATGTGTTCATATAAGAGAGATAATACCAGCCTAGCTGTTCTAAGTTGATAAGGAAAGAAGAACATCCAGCTTGTTTGAACATCTGATGGTGTAGGTAAGTCATTGTGCTTTCATCTCAGAGTCCTAGGTGTGTAACCTGTTATCTGTAGCACCTGCAAGGATCTTAACCTGAAATCTCCATCCTGGAACTGAGTCTACAAACTGAACTCATGGCTACTGTTTCAGTCTAATTCAGGCATAGGCAAACTTGGCCCTCCGGATGTTTGGGACTTCAACTCCCTTCATCCCTAGCTAACAGGACCAGTGCTCTAGTTGTTGTTGTTTTTTAATTCTTCCTCTTACCACTCACCCCATTTTTTAAAATAACATCTTGTCAGCCTAGTGACAAATTCTGGAGATCTTAAAAGCTTGCCACACTTTTATGACTTTCAAGAGCAATTTCATGTTTGCAGTGTACTGGGAGAAGTTCAACACTATATTTATGCTCCTATATGTCACCCTGAGTTCCATGATGGATGCAAGGTAGGGTATATAAATGTATTAAACAAATAAAAAGCACGTTTCCCACATGAATAGGTATATGTGTAGAATTGTCTTGTGTGTAGCATACTTGACGCTTGTTTATTCTCATTATCTGGCCAAAAATATAGGTTTTGTGGCAGCTAAACATTTTAAAATATCCCCTATGAATTGGTCATATGGGCCAATTCCTAAATAGGAATGCAACCATGAGGATGTATACCATTGTATAGAAGGCATACTACTCATTATCTTTGCTGGCAGTAGTGCCCAGAGAGAGTCACTTCATCTGAAAATCTCACAATTTGGAGAAAGGGCACATTTGGGATGAGGCACTTATTGAGGTCCTACAGGCCTTTAAAGATCAAATCAACATCTTTCCTGATATCATTGGACCAGATCTTATTAATAATATGTCTGCCACATTCTAGAGTTGCTAGAGTTTCCACAGGCAGCCCCAAACAGAGCACAGTATGCATCATTTAATAATCCAATCATATATTGTCTACTCAGAACATTAAGCTTTATTCATGTAGAATATATATGGTTCACAACAGAACTAGGAAACCCTCCAGATGTTGTTGTACTACAGCTTCCATCATCCATGACCATTAGCCATGCTGCTGTGGTAGATGCGAGTCCAACAACCTCTGAAGTGCCAAAGATGTCTCACCTCTGGTATATAGGATTGCAGGCTTACCCTCAAGGCACCAGGGCATTGTTGAACAATGCAAGGATAATTCCCCTAACTTTCAGTGTGATCAGATAGTTCTTGACACATAAATAAAGTTGCACAGTAAGAGTATTTTCAGTCATTTCCTAAGCAGCATCCATTTTTATTCAGGGTGGGACATACTATAACCCAGAATTATCTCATATACTACTGCCTAAACGCTGATGCATCACAGTAGCATGAAGCAAAAACTTAGTTTGTGTGATTTTGGGTAACTTTTAATTTGGCATTTGGTAGAATATAATGAAAGGAAGCATTTGGCCTGAATTATTATTATTTTTAAAAAAGGTTTGGGGATCCCTAGAGATAAGACACTATTTATTTTGTGATTAATTTCCTTATGATTAAGAAATGATGAATATAGGTCACCATTGAAGTTTGTCTTGCCACTTCAGAAGTAATAATATACATAAATTATAATACTTAAAGAAAAGGCTTTATAGCAAATCAGTTTTGTTTTTGAACTGGGATGTTTAGTTTTTCTATTAATGTTAGAGTGCAAATTCCTTGTTGCTGTATAACCCCTCCTCCGCCAAGTTTTGAACCTGGCTCTCTGGTAAGAAGAGTTAAATTTATTTTGCCTTTAGGATTAAACATCAAGGTATTTGAGATCTGGCATCAGCTTCATTTTTAGAAAATAGTATAAGATATAGATGATATAAGACATATATTTACGACAGCTAGATTAAAAAATGAAGTATAAATTGGATGAATAAGTACCTTTCAAACCCTCAGGTGCACAATGGAATGTTTTCCTTCATAAGGGTTAGGCAGGAATCCCATGTAGGTATGATGACATTATCCACTGTCTCTCACACTCCAGGATAACTTGATAATCTGTCTCCTTGTGCCAAGTGCTAAGGATGTATTACTATGCTGGGGGCCAAATGTTGTATAGCACATGTGGTAAAATGATCCTCTGTATCCACTCCATGTTTCCTGGTAATAAATTTATAAAGGTAACATCAAGCAAAGGGTGAAACTTCAGGGTGATTCTGAGGATACTG